TGATGTCATCCCACAACTCTTCTGGTCTTTGGTCTTTAGTGTTTAATTCATCAAATCTGTTCTTCAGATGATCTCTAAATTCAGGAGGGATAAATTCAAGTAAGTAAGTAAGTACAATAAAAGATGTTCAACATCACTATCCATTGTTTTTGTTGATTCTGACGTATAGTGACTCCAATGGTACGTAAGATTTTCAAGGCTGTGAACGTTCGGAAGCAGATCACCAGGCCTTTCTTTCAAGGCTCCTCTGTGTGGGTTCAGTTAGTAATCAGTGACTTAATCGTTTATGTCATCTAGGGACATTTTTGCTGTTGTTATTTTGTGCTGTCAAGTAGGTTCTAACTCATAGCAATTCCATATAAGATTCCCAAGAGCAACTGATGGGTTGGAACTGCTGACCTTGCAGTTAGCAGTTTAGTGCTTATCCCACACCACCATTCCAGGGCCATGCAGTGGGGCAGTACAGCAGTGGAGATACAATATAAAGTTGAAATTTTAAAACATTGACATATAGTGCACATAGATGGTAGCATTCGCTTTTCACATAGTTTTCTTTCTAATGATAACACTCTCATTTGGAACTTTTATAAAACTCTGAAATCTTTCAAGAAAAACAATTCCCATAATCCCATCTGCCAAAGATGAACAATCTAGTGGGATTCTCTTCCTTTCTGTCTTTCTCTAGGCATATGCAAAACAAAACTGAAAGGCTTATTTATACAATTTTAAATCTTAGTTTCTTCATTTTATATATCAGAAACTTCTCTGATGTTACCACTATTTTTCAAAAACATGTTTTCTGATAGTTGAATAATAATTCATCACTTGGCTATATAATAGTCTCTTTTTGGATTGCTATGTTCTTTCACAAATATATTTCATTTTTTAGAGATATAATATGCATACATTAATACAAAACACTAAGATACAAAAAGACAGATAATAAAAAATCTCTTTTCTAACCTTGTCCTCAGTGCCCCTCCACGGTTACCAGCTATTCCTATCACTCCACTGACATTCTATGCATGCATAAACAAGTATGTATCTCATATTCTTTTTTTTTTTTTTTTTGCTTCTCTAAAATGGGAGCACAGTTCTACACCTTGTTTTTTACATTGATAACACCTCCTCAGAAACTCTATATAGAGTCGCTATGAATTGAAATCACCTCAGTGGCACTCAACAATAACAAATGCATCTCAGAGATGTTGTTGTGATGTGCCATAAGCTGATTTCAATTCATAGCGACTCTTAGTTGTTGGATTTGAATTGCCGACCTTGCGGTTAGCAGTCCAGTGCTTATCCTCCATCACCACACCAAGATTCTATATTGGAAACAGTTACACTTTAACCACTCTCCTGGTTGTTCCTAACCTTGTGTTATTCTAAAAAACGCTGCAATATTTTTCCACAAAAATAATTTTTACACACGTTAAAGTATACTCTCAGACAAGTTTCAAAAAATGGAACTACTAGGTCAAAGAGAATTTTCATTGTTCTCCATGGCAGTTACACTAACGTAACTACTGAAAAGAAATGAAAGTTCTTGTTTCCCCATACCCTCACCAATACAAAATAGTATCATTAAATTTTAAAAACTTGGCTAATCTGATTCAGGAAAGATGGCATGTCATAGTGAGGCTAAGTATGTTTTAGTAAGATCTACATTTATTTTCCTGTGAACTTCTTGTACATTTCCTTTGTTACATTTTCATTTTTTGCTGGGCTATTGGCCTTTTAAAAACAAATAAAGAGATTTCTAGGATATCTTTACAAAATAAGGAATTTAGCCCTTTGTTTGCATTATGTTTTTTTTCCCTGCTTACTGTTAGAATTTATTTATAATGTTCTTTTCCATGGAGAAAACTTTAATTTTTATAAAGATCAATGATATGTAAGATAAATAAAGCAAGATTTTGAGTTGTATATTGCTTTTTAAGGCTTCTGGGTATGGTAAGACACTTATAAAGGCCTACTTTCATATGTTTTCTTTGAGTAATTTAATGGCTCCTTTTGGTTTCATATATATCTTTCATCCTATTGTATGTTTCTCCCAAGTTTGCTGCCCAAACATCCCCATACCATTTACTGAACTATCTCTCTTTCCTACTGTATTCATTTTTTCATTTTAAAAAACTGAAGTTAACATATTATATGTTTTGTGAATGTACAATCACAGGTAATTTTTAGTCTTATTAGAATGGTATTGGAGTCCTGGCATGGCGCTGTGGATTAATGTGCCAGACTGCAAAGCCATTTGAACTGCAAGGTTGGTGGTACAAACTCACAAGCTGCTCCTCAGAAACCCTATACAGGGTCGCTATGGGTTGGAATCGACTTGACGGCACTTAACAACAACAAAATTAGAATGGTCTTACACTATGAAAAGACTCAACAAAATGACAACCAGTTTTATATCTAAATAAGCTAGCTTCATTTTAACACACCATGGAATTACTTAAAAGAAAATAATGGTCAGGTGCTTTTCCAAGACTTATGTGACCACACCTGTCCCATCTGATCTTATTAGTCTTATATCCTTTTATCTCATTACCATCTTTTTATATATCAAGCTTATTATAAGGAGTTCTAGTGTGGCAGTGTGGGTTAATGCGCTGGACTACAAGGTCAGTTTGAACCACAAGGTTGGTAGTTCAAGCTCACCAGTCACTCCTTGGAAACCCTATACAAGGTTGCTACGGTCAGAACCGAGTCACCAGCACTCAACAAAAACAACAACAGTTAGAAGTATGAAAGCTTACAATTTAGGAGCCCTGGTGGTCCAGTGGATAAATGCTTGTCTGATAACCAAAAGTTTGGCATTTCGCATTTACCAGTGGTTCCTGGGAGAAAAGACCTGGTGATCTAGATTGTTGTTGATCTAGATTGTTGTTGTTGTTATTTGCCGTGGAGTCGGTTCCGACTCATAGTGACCCCATACAGGGTTTCCGAGGCTGTAAATCTTTACAGGAGCAGAAAGCCTCATCTTTGTTCTGCGGAACAGTTGGTAGTTTCTAACTGCCGACCGTGAGATTAACAGCCCGATTCGTAACCACTACGCTAACAGACTAGAAAACCTTATGATGTAGTTCTAGTCTGTACTATAGGGTCACTATGAGTCAAAAATAACTCATTGGAAAATAACAAAACAACTTGGTATTTTGTTGTAGTTGTATGTTTTACGATATACGACTATCCTGTGTTTATCTGTCTCCTCAACTAATACTTTTTGTAGCACTGATGGTGTAGTTGGGTGGTGCAAACAGTTGGTGTTCAACGTCTAACAAAAGGTTGGCAGTTCAAACTCACCTAGTAGTACCATGAAAGAAAGCAGATCTGGCAACCTGCTTCTCTAAAGAATACAGCCAACAAAACTCTAGGTTCTGTTGGGTAATATATTGGGTCGCCATGAGTTAGAACTGTTTTGAAGGCAACAGGTGTCTGGTGCCTAATGGTGTCTTATATTTTTGCCCCCTTTGAGCACTAAATACAGAACTAGACCCAAAGGAGGTGGAGGTAAAAACCCATACACACTAAACATGCTGGTACTTGAATATCTTACCAATTTCTTAGTGATATTTATCTGGTTTCCCTTCAAGTTACTCAAGTTTTATTCATGTCCATTAGCTGCTGTTGGGGACCGCAAGCACTGAGATGCTGAGGCCCTGTGTCATGGACGAAAATCCAACACGAAGTTCCCACTCAGGATTGCTAGCCAGGGACCCTGAGGGCCAAGGAAGTGACCTCCTGATGTCCTGGGTTCATAGGCTTTTACAAACTCACTGGTGGGCTACCTCTGTATAATTTTCTTTGGTCTTATTATTCATTCTATGCTTCTAACTCCAGTAATTGTGGCTTCTGAGAAAATGGTTTCTTATGTGCCTCTCTTAATGT